AGGGAAGGACCTGTACTTCAAGCAGTCCCAGCTCACAAGATTGCACTCTTCGGCCAGGATGCTCTTTGTACGCGTACATGCCTCCTTGTTCCACCACGTCATCGCCGTTGCCCACGCCCCGTGCCAGAAGGCCAAGGACATCAGTGGGTGGTGGGAACACTTCAGAGAGCTGTGCGACACATGGAAGCCAGAGATCGTGCTCATCGACGCGAACGCCAAACTAGGACACAAAGATGGAGAGGACTCGCTGTGGCTGGGCCAGAAGGGTCCTAATCAGTTGGTCGACAAGAACGGCCACGAACTCCATGAGACGGTCGCCAACGGTCACTTGCACGTCGTCAACACCTACTACGGGGACAGCGACGACTACACATACCACAAGGATGGGGTCTCCAACCGCATCGACTACGTCGCCATGGCTCCCTGCCTATTCAAGTGCGTGGCAGCTTGCACAGTGCTGAAGGACTTCCAGAAGCCTGGCGCCAAGAAGAAGAACGAGCACAGCAAGCGGAGGAACAGCGGCGCTCAGAACAGCTTCGACTCGACCACTGATCACCTGCCAGTGCTTGTAGAAGTCGTGGGTGACATCATCGGTCGCCACCGCAATCTGAAGAGCGCCACCCAGTTGGACACCAACAAGCTCAATAACCCCGAGAGCATCACCGCCTTCAAGCAGGACCTGAACAGCACCAGGCTACCACCATGGAGGGCCGACGTCAACGATCACTGCCACGAGACGGCAGGGCTCATTGCCGACAAGACGAAGCAGCACTTCGGACGGGACCCGCTCACACCTTGCAATGCCACAATCTCCGAGGCCAGCATGCGACTATTGCGACTACGCAGATACGCGGAGAGCTCCACGCGGACCTACACGAGCAATGGAGACCCAGCACCACTAGAAGTATTCCGCAAGAAGCTCTGTTATGAGGCGCTGGCCTACGCCCACGCGGAAGACAGCTGGTTCAACTCCGTCGCAGTTCTTGCAGACGCCTGCCAGCTCAGTCGCACTGCTGGCTGCCTTGGCATTGCGCACGACGCCGCAAGGTCCTTCATCGCCCACACTAAGGACACATTCAGGCACCAGCTCAGCACCGACCGCAACCAGTACTTCCAGGACCTTGGTACCAAACTGGCAGACAGTAGAACAGCACGAGACGCCAGGTCCGAATGGCAGCTGACCAAGAAGATCCTCATTCACGGCGGCCGCAAACCAAAATACGACAACGCGCTATCTACCATGCAGCACTCCGATGGCACCATCATGGGCACCCAGAGCGAGATCAGCCGTGCCACGCTCCAGCATGACGCCAACATCGAGTCAGCAGGCATCAGGGACAAGTATGACCTCACGGACCGCTACAACAACAGCCATACTGGCAAGTCACCACCCGACGAGGTCTCGCCGCACCTGCTCATGACACTCAACGACCCGGTGGAGAGCTTCGCGGACGGCAAGAAGGGACGCGCAGGAGGACCTGACGGCAACCTCGACGACATCTTCAAACTTGCACCCGAGGAGACAGCCCGCCACTGGTATCCTGTCATCCTGAAGACGATCGTGCGAGGCCGCGAACCAATCCAATTCAAGGCAGGCATCGCAGTAAAGCTTCACAAGGGCAGCGGCGCGAGGTCTCTACTGGAGTACTACAGGTCGATCCCCAACAACACGGTGGCCAAGCATCACCACAAGTAGCTTCGCACAACGACGCTGCGGGTCTGCAGTTGTCTGCTCCGCGTCGCCCAGCATGGCGGGATCCCGAAGAAGTCTGGTGCGTACTCCACCCGCACCATCAAGGCGTTCTTCAGGATCTGCAAGCGCAAGCGCCTCAGCGCCGTCGGCATCCTGTTAGAGCTCCGGCAGGCCTTCTACTCCGTCATCCGTGAGTTCGTCCTGGGGCGGGGGGGTGACAAGCCGTGGCTTCACAAGATTATGGCAGGCTGCGACCCGCCAGAATGGCTCATGCCTGCCATCCAGCACTTGATCGCAGCCCCTGGCTACCTAGCGCTCAACGATGTCGACGAGAACCTCCGATTCCAGCTGGAAGAGGCACACGACGCGACCTTTTTCCAAGTGCGCGGAGACGAACTGTGCGCGGAGAGCCGCAAAGGCACACGCCCAGGCAACGGCCTGGCCGACCTCACCTTCAACATCAGCTTCGCGCACGCCCTGGGCCCGCTGGAGCAGGAGCTGCGTGCGGAGGGCTACTCACTGCAGCTACCACCTGTGGGAGAGCAAGCCATTACCACCACAGGCCACCTTCGAGACCACGAAGGGGCCCTACCAGAAGTATCCTTCATGGACGATGCGACCTTCCTGTGCGTACTCAGGGACAATACAAAAATCGTGAGCAGTATATTTGACATATTGTCCATCATTGCGAGGGGACTTAAGATCTTCGGGCACGAGCTGCACCCCAAGTAGACCAAAGCCCTGCTGCAAATCGACGGACACGCCAAGCAGCACATCAAGGCGAAGATCTTCCAGACCAACCCTGTCACGCTGCACCGCGAGGAGGGCCAACCGCTGACCAGCATCGACGCTACCACAGCTGAAGTCACGACCCAGGGACTCACATTGGGCAACGTAGTAGCAAGCGACGGCAGCGAAGGGCCAAACCTAATGCGACGCATCATCGATCACAGATCTGCGGAGGGCCCCCTGAAGAAATCCATCTACCGACTTCCGCACATCGACCTCAAAGCCAATATGCAGTACCTCGCGGCACTGGCGCAGAGAAAGTTGACATACGATTGCGAAATATGGGGGACATTGACAGTACAACAGAAGCAGATGCTGCAGAGCCGACATATGGCGAGTCTCCGAGCTGCGGCACGACAACAGCGACATGGGGCGGGACACTTGCACACCCTGGACGACGAGATCTACCTTCTCTGCGATGAAGTCCCGACCCACATGTCCCTGCGACGACGACGCCTGCTGCACTTCATCAGAATGCTGCATGCGGACACGCCATTCCCCCACCGACTCATCGACGAGCTTTGGGCGGACAGCAAGGCCTGGAACGTGCTTATCGTCGAGGACCTGGATTGGATCAAACGCTTCCTGCTGGACGACGAGGACCTTGGCAGCGACATCAGGGATTTTGTACGATGGGTACGAGCACAACACGAGCATTCCGCACAAGCCATGGTCACGCGTGCCTGGCTTAGGTACAAGTCCTGGCAGCACGACGTACACCGACATCGGCTCTGGCAACGACAGCTACATCGGCTCGCGCAAGACTGCGGACTTACCACGCCCAGCTTTGACGGACGACCACCTACACAACACAGTGGTTACATCTGCTACGAGTGCGGCAAGGTCTTGAAAACACGAGGAGCTTGGAAGCGCCACCGCACCATGGAGCACATCGGCTTTGACCTTCCTGAACTACTCGCCCGTTCGACAACATGCCCTGGTTGCGGGAAGGACTTCATCACGCGCTCGCGCATACTCAAGCACCTGAGAAGATGCCCCAGGTGCCTCGCAGTTCTCCAAGTAATTGAAGTCCCAATGGATCTACAGGAGGCAGCCGATCGACGCGATGAAGAACGTGAAGCGGTGGCGACGAGGAAAGCGATGGGCCACGGAGCTACTAAGGCGCTTGTGCCTGTGCAGCAGATCATCCACATTAAGCTCGCCGACCACATCGACCAACACCAGCTCCAGCTCTCGCCTGCGCCGCCCGCAGCAGCGACTCTTCAAGCGGAGACGCCATCAACAAGGACCTTTGCACCGTGCAGGCCCATGGTCACCACGACCATGTTCTTGCTACACCTCTTCTCTGGAAGACGCCGAGTGGAGGATTTCCAGCACCATTTCGAGATGCACACTCGTGAATGCAATTTGATAGTGTTATCATTCGGTGTACAGATCGACCCAGACAAAGGCGACCTGACCAAGCCAGACGCGATTGCCTTTTGGTGTGCGGCGATGCGTCAGGGCAAAATCTTTGGCATCGTAGCCGGCCCTCCGTGCGAGACGTGGTGCTCGTCACGTTGGCACGCCACTGAGGGCAACGCCCCGCGCCCACTACGCACCCACGACTTCCCCTGGGGCATGCAAGCAGCCAACCAAACGGAACTCCAGCAGCTAGCACTGGCCAACGAACTCTACAGGACAGCCTTACTGCTCATCACCACGGGCTTGCAGTACAACGTTTCCGCGATGCTCGAACATCCTGCCCCAGCTACCTGGTGTCCTCAAGCGCCGAGTAGCTGGCATCGAGCGGAGACTCTGTGGCTGTTGGAGCAGACGGACGTCCAGCTACACTACATCGACCAGTGCCAGTTTGGGCAGGCCGCGCGGAAGCCAACGTGTCTGCTGGCGGCACACCTCAGTGAACTCACGCAAGAGCTCGGAGCAGTGCCCGGTGGTCAACTGCGCCGACATCGTGGACACGACCGCGCTTACGGACGCGACGGGCAGGGCGGCTGGAGGACCGCCCCTCTCAAAGAATATCCTTCGAGGTTGTGCAAGGCAATGGCAGCAGCCTTCGCAGCCCACTGGGGGCAGCTCGCAGACGACGAAGCACTGCGGGCCGAGACAGACGAGTACTACCACAGCTTCTACGCGCCACTGGACCATTACACAGAGCCATAACAGCTGGGGCACGACTGTCACAGGGCGTGGGGCAGCCACCGCCGCTAGCAGCAACTCACAGATTCGCGCAGTACTACGTCGACCAGCACGACTGGGTCGACCACCACAGGTTCGGGCCCACAGGCTCAGGCAGTATCACGTCGACCTGCACAACTGAGTCGTGAGTGGATTACTATTTTGCAGTATTACAGATTTTGCAGTACGTCCAGTGGACTGAGTGGATTACTATTTTGCAGTACTTTACCGACTGAGCGATCGAGGGACCGCGTATTTTATTGAATTTACTATCTGAGTATTTTGCGTGACCAGCACGGCCGAGTGAATATTCGAGCATGTGTTCTCATGGACTTCGATGGCTTGCCATTCTCGAGGGGGGGGGGGGGGCGTAGCGCCCATGCGGGTGGGCACGATCCCTCAAAGGCGACGGAGCGTGCCTCCCCTCTCGTATTCTTATTGGTTTTATCATGCATTCGGTCTGGCAACGATTTTGATGCGAGAATTTATCCTCTCTGGGCAAAGGTAGAAAAGCGCCCAGTCTATCATTGTACGGCATGTTGTTATTTCTTGGCAGATGGGCAGCAAGAATGACTCGAGCACCACAGGCTTGCGCACCATAGAGTCAAGCAGTGCAAGCAGTGCTACGTCGACCAGCACGTCGGAGCCGAGTACCATAGGTCCGTGCACCGCGGAGACAAGCACTACCATGTTGACCAGCATGACTGTGCCGAACACCACAGGTGCGGGCGCCACTGAGTCAAGCACTGCCACTTGTACCAGCACGACTATGTCGAGTACCACAGGTTCGAGCACGACCACGTCGAGTACCACAGGGCTGTCCGCGGCGAAGAGCGTCCTCGACGACAAGCACTATGGCGTCAGGACTCAAGTCCTGAGGAAGCCCCGAATGCGTGGGAACACCTCAGGCAGCGTCGCCAAGTTTTGCATGAGGCGTTAGGACGCAAGTCCTGGGGAAGCCCCGAATGCGTGGGAACACCCCAGGCACAAGTCGCTACGTTTTGCTGTATGGACCAGGCAGCGATCGTACGTATACAACTCAGTGGTTACCAGCTGGCCAGACGGTATTCGACCTCTACGACCATGTTGCACCACCGACCGACCATCACTCACAACCCTTGTATGGCCCACCACACCTCTTTACAAGTCAACGCTGCCCTGGTGAGGCATGGATCAAACTTCGAGACGGGCTCGAAGGGTGGGGGGGCAGGACGAGTACTACCCGCGCCTACCAGGGGGGATGGTGAGGGGCAGGGGGGGGGCAGGACGTCCACTACCTGCGCCCCCGCGGTCCGCCCTAGCTCGCCACCCCCACCATCCCCATGGCGGAGGAGGAGCTACCCGAGCGCCCAATGGGCGAAGCGCAGGGCAGCCGAGACATCCCACACCGACAGAAGTAAGCACCAGGCCTGGGGTTCGCCCCCACCGAGGGCACTGTGACCCCTAGCCATAGCGGGACGAGGTGGGGCCGCCACGACCCCCACTTGAAGTCGGTGCATGGAGGCCTCATATGTGCGCCCACGACCCATACCACAACACCAGCAACAAGCCGACCTCCCAACGACCCACCAACCAGCACGCACGACAAGCAACTACAAGGGCTGGGGATCCCCCCAACCGACCATCCACTCCACCACCACCTCCCGTCATCATCGCCGACCAGCACGGCCGAGTCGAGTACCACAGGATCGAGGACCACCGAGTCAAGCACTATCACATCAACCAACGCGACTGGGTCGAGTACCACAGGCTTGGCACCACAGTTTCAGGCTGTACTACGACGACCAGCATGATTGAGTCGAGTACCACAGCTCGTGAACCACGGAGCCAAGCCGTACTACGTTGACCTAGCACGTCTGTAGCGAGAAGCACAGTTTCGAGCACCGCAGAGTCAAGCAGTACCACTGGTTCGAGAACTACGAGAAGCCGCCGCCGTGCGGCCGCCGGCCCACGAAGAGGCCGACGGCCTGGCCGCGCGCCGTGCGCCTGACGCCCGCGGGCGCGGGCGCGCGCGGCGCCCGCCAAGGGCCCTGTCGGGCCTCCCTTTTTTTTGAAAACCCGGCCCCTCTCCCCTCCTCCGAGGTATTCATTGGTCCCTGGTCCTCTCTCTTCCTCGGGGTCGGGTTCCCGGGGCCGCCGTCTGAGTGCCCGCACGGCCCTGGTGGGCTGCTGCGGCGCGCTCCGCGCCGCGGGCGCATGAGAAGACGCTGGCTGAGCGAGAAACGGCAGAAACGGCAGGGGGAGAAGGAAAAGGAGGAGGAGAAGGAGGAGGAGGAGGGGGGTGGAAGTGGAGGATGAGGAGGAAGAGGAGAAGGAGGAGGTGAGGAGGAGAGGAAGAGGAGGAGGAGGAGAAGAGGAGGAGATGGAGGACGACGTCGAGGAGGAGGCCCGACGAGGAGGACGAGGAGGAGCGGGAGGAGAAAGAGGATGTGGAGGAGGAGGAAGGGGAGGATGGGAGGAGAAAGAGAAGGAGGAGAAGGAAGAGGAGAAGGAGGAGGAGCAAAAGGAGGCGGAGGAGGAGATGGGAGGAGGAGGTGAGGAGGAGGAGGAGGAGGAGGAGAGGAGGAGAAGAGGATGCAAGAGGATGAGAAGAGTAGAAGGAGGAGAAGGAGGAGGAGAGGAGGGATGAGGAGGAGGGGAAGAGAAGGAGGAGAGGATGAGAAGAGGAGAAGGAGGAGGAGGAGGAAGAGGAAAAGGGGAGGAGGAGGAGGAGAATGGGAGGAAAACGAGGAGGAGAAGAGGAGGAGAAGAGGAGAAGGAGGAGGAGGAGAAGAGGAAAGGAGGAGGAGGAGGAGGGGAGGAGAGGAGGAGGAGGAGATGAGGAAGGAGGAGGAGGAGGGGAGGAGGAGGAGGAGGAGGAGGAGGAGGAGGAGGAGAGGAGGGAGGAGGGAGGAGGAGGAGAGGAGGAGAAGGAGGGGAGGAGGAGGAAGAGGAGGAGGAGGAGGATGAGGAGGAGGAGGGATGATGAGGAGGAGAAGACGAGGAGGAGAAGAGGAGGAGGAGAAGGAGGAGGAGGAGAAGAGGAGGAGGAGGGAGGAGAGGATGGAGGAGGAGGAGAATGGAGGAGAGGAGGGAGGAGGAGGAGGAGAGGAGGAGGAGGAGGAGGAGGAGGAGGAGGAGGTGGAGGAGTGGGGAGGCCCCTCCGCGTGGAGAGGCGTCGGAGCCCCCTGCGGAACTCCTGGCGCGTGAGTTCGTGGTGCTCTCGCCGCAATGCCCGCTGGACGGAGGCCGCGGGACGGGTCCAGATTCTGCTGTTCCCGGCGCAAGATGGGAGTTGGGGGGAAAGGAGGAGGGGCGCCGCTCCCCTGGGCGCGCGCAAGCGCGCTGTGCTGCTGCTCCTCTCCTGAGTGTGTTTGTGTGTGTGATTGCGTGTGTGTGTGTTGTGTGTGTTGTGTGTGTGTGAATATGTTGCGTGTGTGTGTTGTGTGTGTTGTGTATGTGTGTTGTGTGTTGTGTGTGTTCTGTGTATGTGCGTGTGTGTGTGTGTGTGTGTGTGTTTGTGTGTGTGTTGGTTCCCTCACGCTCTGAACGGCCCCCCGCGCGCGCGCCCGTCCGTTCGGTGACTTTCTCCGCCTCGACGCTAAGTACGAGGCCGCGACCGCCACACAAGTGCGTGTGTGTGTTTATGTATGTATGTGTCTGTATGTGTGGGAGGACACTGTGATCCTGGGCGAGGAGCCTGGTTGGACGATTGCCTCGCTGGCGATGCGGACCCTTCTGCTCCCGTCCCCTCGGGCGATGCCGGGACCGCGGAACTCAGTCTGGCCATTCCGCCGGCCCGCCTCGTGCACGCAGACGGGGCTTCCCAGCCTGCTTCCTCGCCTCTGACATTCGATGCCCCAGGCTCCCGTGGGCGAGCGCAAGCGCTCGCTGTGTTGCTGGTCCTTTCTTGAGTGCGTGTGTGTGCGTGTGTGTGTGTGTGTGTGCTTGTGTGTGAATGCGCGTTTCTGCGTGAATGCGTGTGTGCGTGCGTGCGTGTGCGTGTGTGCGTGCGTGCGTGCGTGCGTGCGTGCGTGCGTGCGTGCGTGCGTGCGTGTGCGTGTGCGTGTGCGTGTGCGTGTGCGTGTGCGTGTGCGCGTGGGTGCGGGTGTGTGTGTGTGTGTGGTGTGTGTGTGTGTGTGCGTGTGTGTGTGTGTGCGCGTGCAGCGTGACCCGTGTAGTTGCCCACTGCGACGGCCTTCCGGCGTGGCCCCCGTCCTGCTCTTTCTGCCCTGTCTCGTTTCGTGGAGCTGCCAACTGCGACGGCCTCCCCCGCTGCTAACCTGCCTCTCATCCGCATCGGCTGCTCCGCCTGCCTGGGCCACTCTGCCGGCGAGCTTCTGCGTGCCGTTCGCTGTCCTGCCCGCTCTCGCCCCGCCTCGCCGCTCGCTGGCCTCGCTGCCATGGCGCCTGCGAGCCATCGCCTGGCTTCTGCATTGCGGCGCGACGGCGGTGGCCGCGGTCGTGCCGCCCCCTTTTTTAGCGTGGGGGCGACGGGTCCTGTGGCAAACGGGTCCTGGACCCATGAGCCTTCCCCCAGGGCCACTTGTTCATCCTGAGTCGTTTTCTGACAGTCCTGGGGCCCGTGGAGGGCCCCAGGGGGGCCCAGAAACAGGGAAAAACCTCAGGAACCATTTCCCTCAGGACCCGTTTCTTTCAGGACCCGCTTCCCGCCATGGCGGCTTTTGAGATCGGCTCGGCCTTTCGCCTCGCGCCGCCGGGTGGGTCTTCCCCCCCTCCCCGCCGTCGTCGTGCGCCGCCTCTTGCTTTCCTTCTGCTCGCCACACGGGCGGTCGTCCGTGGTTTCGCCCTTCCCTTCTCCTCGGGTCGTCCGTTTTGCCCTCCCCCTTCTCGCCTCCCCGCGCTGGGTCCGCCCCGGTTCTCGGGCGTCGCCTTCCCCTCCGTAGGGGGCGGAGAACAGTATGAGATAAACCGTTTCCGCCGTCGGGGGCGCTTGCCTTTCAGGCGGCTTGTCAAGTTTCTACCCCTATGGTGCCACGTATGGGTATGAACCGTCCAGCCGCCGGGGGGGCAGGCGTCCCCGACGGCGGATCGCCAGCTAACTTCCCCTTGCTTCCGGGTCGCCCACCAGTGGGTCGTCGCTGCCGCGCTATCCCGAAGTCACTCGCTGGGCATCTGTCCTGGCCGCCTCCTTTTCCTTGCCACCCGCGGCCATTCTGGCTTTTCACTCGCGGAGCCGCCCTTGCGGCCCCTCTGTCACCGCGTCGTACAAACTCCCTCTTCCTTGCGCCTGTGCTGGTGGTGATTCTCATTAGCAGCCTCGCTGTTCTATCGTTATATCGCTGTGTTGGACCAACGGACCAGAAAGCAAAAAGTGTATGTGCGTGTGTGTGTGTGTGTGAGTGAGTGTGCGTGTGTACGTGTCTTTGTGTTTGTATGTGTGTGTCTCTTCTTCCACGCGCATGCGCGTTCATGCGTCACCGACGCCAGGTGGACATTCGCCTTCTCGTCCTGGCTCAGCGCTTCGCGGCGGTGTCGCCCCCTCGCCGCTGGAGAAAAGGAGTATGTGTTTTTGTTTGTGTGCGTGTGTGTGTGTGTGTGTTGCTGGTGTCCGCTGCTGCTTCGGACGTAGCCTCCTTGCCCAATTCAGGCGTTGGCGTAGCCCCCCGCAGCTTGACCCGTGGGAGCCCTCCCACTAGCGTTGCAGGACACACAGATTGTGTATGTATATGTGTGCGTGCTTTGTTCGTGCAAGATCTGAGTTGCCCCATTCTCTTCGTGTCTCTCAGCGCCAGCGGAACTTTGGATGCGCCTGCAATATCGCCATCAATGCTGCGCGTGTGTGTGTGTATGTGTGTGTTGCGTGCGCATGTGTGGGTGTTTGTGTGTGCGTGTTGCTGGATGTGCGCAGCCAAGTATTGTCCGCCACCCACCGTTCGTTTCTAATGCGTGTGAATTCGGGAGCCACGACACCTTGCATCTAGTGCCACGCCTTCAGCTTAATGGGCTGCCACTCGTGTCTTCGGCCTGTCGAGGGGTGGAACTAACCGTATACGGATGGGCGTCTTGTGCGCTGGGAAGGAAGTCCGCCTCGCCCCCAGGCGGCGCAGTGACTGGGCAGTGGCTGAAGCATCTGCAGACCGAGCGGTGTGGGGACGGCGACCTGCCAGACGACTGGCGCCCAGCGGCCGCCAGAGGGAGCGTCAGAAAGGAAGTGGAGGATGTGTTTGTGTGCGGGGCATGTTCGTAGCCTCCTTGGCTCGAGCGCGCCCTGCTTCGAGCAGGGTGCCGCGTGTGGGGCGCCCGTTGACGCGCGGGCGCGATGCCAGCAGCGCGTGTGGCCGGCGGGCGGCGGTGCGGATGATGATTACCTTGAACCTTGATGATGATTACCTTGATGATGATGATGGTGGTGATGATGATGATGATGGTGGTAATGGTGATGATGATGATGGTGATCATCATCATGATGATGATGATGAGGTCGATGATAATGCTATGAGAATGATGGTGATGATGGTGGTGGTGATGATGATAATGATGTTGATGCTGATTATGATTTTGGTGTGGGTGGTGGTGGTGATGATGTTGCTGATAATGTTGATGATGTTGATGATGGTGGTGGTGATGTTGGAGGTGGAGGAGGGTGGTGGTGATGGTGATGGTGATGACGATGACGATGGCGATGATGATGCTGATGATGCTGATGGCGATGATGATTACGGTGGTGATGATGCTGATTAGGATGAAGATGAGGATGGTGATGCTGCTGACGATGATGCTGACGATGATAATGATGCTGATGATGATGACGACGGCGACGACCACGATGATGATGATGCTGATGATGATGATGCTGATGATGATGATGATGATGATGATGATGATGATGATGATGATGATGATGATGATGATGATGATGATGATGATGATGACGGTGGTTGTGATGATAGTGGAGCTTGTGGATGATGAGGCGGAGGAGGATGAGGAGGTGACCCATGACCAGGAGAAGGACAATGAGCGTTGGCGCAGTGTTGACGCTACAGACAGCTGTCCAGAGCGAGCGCAGCAGGAGGATGATGCGGAAGAGGAGGAAGAGGGGGTAATAGGGATCGAGGGTTACTGGATCGTAGGTGATCTCAACATATACACATACACATGTTGAGCTATGTATTTGTTCGATGCTGAAGTTTGGGATCAACATTGGAGTTTTAACTTGCATGTCAAACTTTCGAAAGGTGTACGAGTGAGCGTGGTGGGCTGCTCTCGACGGTCGGGCAGCAGAGGAAAAGCCCGAGCCAGCGAGCGTGCGGACCCGAACGGGCGGGTCGGGCGCGCGGGGCTGGGACGCAAGTACCCACGCCAGCGAGCTGGTGGTTTCCACTTAGGCGGCTGCGCTTGCGGAGCATCGCAGCTGGCGGGCAGTTTCGACTGGCTGGGTTTATCCAGCGGGTGGATCGGGCGGGCGCGGGCGCACATTTGTGTACAACGATGGAGGGGCCACATTGTTTTGCAAGAAGCGGTGGCCCCGCATTTTGTACGACTAAGAGGCCACGCCTGCCTGTACAGCCGAATGGGACCTCGCATGTTTGTGTGGCTAAGGGGCCCCGCGGGCTGTTACAACGAATGGGCATCTCGGATTTCTTTTACGCCTTCGTGCCCCCCCCCCACGCTTGCAAACATAATGGTGCCCATGTGATTGCACTTCCATGGGGCGTGAATTATCATACAGTAAATTGGTGCACAGTGAGGGTATCGGTGGCTCCACATGCTTCGTACAACTAATGCGCCCAGTTCACCTGTACAACCGGGCTGGGGTCTCGCATTCTTGTACGACCCATAGGCCCCGTGGCCTGTCACAACGAACGGGGATCTCACACTGTTGTTCAGCACGGGGTGGCCCACAGTCTCGTAAACATACTTGGCCTTACGTCCTTTTACAACCAAGGGGCACATATTTGTGTGCAGCGATGGGGCCCCACGCTCTTGTACGAGCAGCTGTGATCCTGCATGTTGTGCAACTGCTGGGGACCACGTACTTCTACAACGGACTGGGGCCTCGCATGTTGGGAGCATACCAGGGGACTATCGGAGGGGACCGCATTTGGGGATAATGCGAGGAGACCCTACGAGGGGACTGTCCAGAGTGACCAAACGGGGGGAATACACTGGGGGACCCTGCGGTGGGCTTCATCACAGTTGCTTGCGAGCCTCGCAACATCCCCGACGACACCACACGCCCCCTCAATCATATACGCAGCTGTAGGTGTTATTGTTGTCGAACTTTGTTTTTGGCAACTCCACTTCTGGAATTCTTCAACTCGGAGTTTGTAAGTTTCAATGTCTACGTACGGGTGTTCTTCTCAGCCTGGGGGTCCGAACTTCAAGATTGGGCGCGCAGCGTAGGCTGCTCAACCGAATGATCTGGAGGAAGACTGATTCGGACGCCGAGGCGGAAGAGAGAAGGAAGAGGGGGAACCTTTAAAAGGGCGAGGATTGGGGAAGCTGGAGGGCACTTGCTCGGGATAAGATGAGTCATAAGGATGGAAAGCTAGAGTCGAGGAGGCAGTGAAGGTGGTGGAATAGGTGTTTGGCAATAAGGTTCGGAAGTTGACTTGGCTGAAGGCATGCCAGTGGGGTGCCGCTTCACCTTAGCATCAGGGGGGGCGCACCTGTGGGCTCCTGGTGTTTACTCGAACGCGGGGCTTGAAGGGGAGTGGTGGTGATGGTGATGATGATGATGATGACGACGATGATGATGATGATGATGATGATGACATCGACGACGATGATGATGATGACGATGATAGTGATGATGGTGGTTATGCTGATGATGATGGCGATGGTGGTACTGATGATACTGCTTATGATGATGCTGCTGATGATACTGAGTATGATGAAGCTGCTAATGCTGATGATGATGATGGTGATGAGGCTCGTGGTGATGATGATTGTGGTGATGATGATGATGACGACGATGTTGCTGATGATTACGATGCTGCTGCGTATGATGATGCTGATGGTGGTGATGGTGGTGGTGATGATGATGGTGATGCTGATGATGATGCTGATGCTGATGCTGGTGCTGACGATGATGATGATACTACAGTGGGGGCGCGCATCAAGAAACCATCTGCTTTTCGTCAGGGTATCGTGGGTTTCTTCGCTCCGCGCGCTGCGCGGTGACTTCCCGCAGCCGTTGGAGAAGCTGCTGCGTTCAGGGTGCTCTGGGTTTCCCCTCAGGTGCACCTCGCGCGCGGGATGATGCTGATGTTGATGTTGATGTTGATGTTGATGTTGATGTTGATGTTGATGTTGATGTTGCGAGGGTTTCTTGCGGCCGCGCCCGCACTGTAATGCTGATGTTGATGTTGATGTTGATGTTGATGATGATCGGGATGATGCTGATGATGCTGATGCTGATTATGATGATGTTGATGATGATGGTGATGCTGATTATGAGAATGATGGTGATGTTGATGATAATACTGATGATGGTGATGATGGTGATGATGATGATGGTGATGATGATGATGCTGATGATGATGATGATGATGATGATGATGATGATGATGATGATGATGATGATGATGATGGCGATGATGATGACGATCGGGTAGAGCACAAGGGGGAGAGGCACGGTGTACAGTGCCAGTGCGGCCCCTACAGGAACAGCGCTGCGAACCACGGCTGGCAGTCCCCTGCTTTCCGAGCCGGATCACCGTTGATCCAACCCTCGTTGGACCTTGGCTCGATACTCGCGGCGTCCTGCTCGACGCGCCAGCCGCACTCATTCAACCAGCCGGCACTCCGTCTTCTCCAAACACGTGCGTCTTTTTTGAAAGCAAGTTCTTCTCCGAGAGCAAAAGCAGCCGATGCCGGACTCGGAGACATGCCAGACTCCCCCCGCTGACTGCCCCATGCCATCCAGGCTCCGCTCTTCTCTGAGAAGCGCCAGGTGGCCTGCCCGAGTTGACGCAGGCGGGACTCGCTTCTGATTTTCTGTGTCCGGTCGGCTCTGAGCTTGCAGTGCTCGAGTGCATTGGGATTGGCGGAGGAAGGGGAGGATGATAATGCGGAGAAGGATGAAGGGGACGAGGAGAAAATGGAGGGATGCCAAGAAAGTGGGGGATGTGAGATGAGGAGGGGAGTTGAGGAGAGATGGATGTGGCTGTGGCAATGCACACATACGACGTCGCCCGGCCAGTTTACGTGTCTGACTGCGCTGTGAAGGCGCATTATCGTCGCAATCTGTTCTCCTACTTTGTTCGCGGATCGTCGCGCGGTGATTCGCTGTTGCCTTCGCGGCAAGAAGGGCATTGGATTTAGCGCGCCCCGAGAGTGATGCGACCCGCTGTGCTCTGGCGAGGGGACGTGCCGCGGGTTGCGCCCGTGCCTGCCCAGGCGCGCCTATCGAATGCGGATGTTCGGTGGGACTCAAAAGGGATGGTGGGGAATGGGAGAGGAGGAAGGCGAGGGAAATAATGATGATGACGATGGTGAAGATGATGAGATGATAGTGACGACGATGATGTTGATGTTGATGTTGCTGATGTTGGTGGTTATTATGATGAGTGTGGTTGTTGAGAACACACGGGGTGATGCTCATGATGATGATGCTGGTGGTGACGATGACGATGGTGATGACGATGCTGATGATGATGATGCTGATGATGATGATGATGACGATGCTGATAGCGAGCATGGTGATGATGATGATGCTGTGCATGATGATGCTGCTGATGATGGTGCTTCTGCTGACACAAATGATGATGAGTATGATGTTGATGATGGTGGTGATGAGGGTGATGAGGAGGATGATTAGGAATGTGACGATAATGGTGATGCTGATCATGATGCTCGTGATGATTTGGTGCTTGTGACGATGTGGTTGCTCGCGACGATGATGGTGACGATGGCGATTTGCGCGGATGATACTGTTCAGCATGTGGACGCGTCATGTCAGCTCGTTTGATTCAGCATCATTAGTGCGAGTTGGGCAAACCGCTTCCTAACGATTGAACTCGTCATTCTTGCGTCTTGTCGTCGCTACGTGTTTCCCGACGCGCGTCATCTCTCCTGCATCAAAACACTGCCAGCCCAAGCGTCTGTCGCCAACGGTGCGCTGTTCTCTTGTCCCGCGACAGCCCGCTCCGAAGATACAACTCTCCATCCGCAT